CCCCCTTATTGACTACACAAAACTGCAACCAAATATTTGACGTAACACCACCTCCCCCTCAATGTTTCTCCATAACTGCAACCAGATATTTGACGCAGTACGTAGCCTCAGTGACTCGATTGTTGCCATCTCATCAGAGAATTGCTCTCTACGTGCTGACCAACCATATTTTCTGGGAAGCGCCGTAGCGCTAATTGAGTAAAATGAGAGCTACGTAACTCAAAAATAAAGTGCAACGCAAGGAGTCATCTCACTTGAACATCCGCATAGTTTTCTGTTCAATTTCCGAACGGTGGAGTAAATTAGATGCACTCTTGAAAGAAGTTTTGAAAAGAACGTTGCTTTCATGGGCTCTATTTCTACGAAAAAGAGACTCACCTACAACCATTCCTTTGTTATCTGATGTAGACGTCGCGGAATAGTCGACGCTGGTCAACTAGAAAAACGAACTTTTTGAGACAAGTTCCTTTGAAATCGCCACCAATTCATACCTCTACAGAGGGTGCGGTACTGCCTGAATCCGCGGCAGCACAAACATTGATTAGAAGTAAGGAGAACAGCATTCTGCTCCTAAAACCTTCATTTGTTAAAGAGATCTAAGCTCCGTCAACCTAAGAAAACCGTGCAGAGCTGCAGAAAAGTTCTCCAAATGCATGACTCCAGAACAATGACGGCAGTGCTCATTAAACGCTCTCGAAAATAGAATTCAATCTCTACGATAACTGATCAGAAATACATAAGACTAGCGTTGGACCTAATGTTGTTATGCACGACTCAATTAAACTCCCATCCGATAAGAGATGGCTTCACTTTTTTAAAGAATCAATTAAGTATACGCCTGTGAGCTCTGAACATGAAATTACAGCTGTGTCAACATCAATTGCTGTAAAGAACTTGGACTTAAAGCATACTCATTATGACTAAATGAAGTTATTGAAGGCTTCTTGAGTTATAGGTTAAATTTCGAAGTTTTCATAATCCTTACTAATTTGAGGCTACATCTCAAGCCTTACAAACAGCTAATATTTTTTCTCCTATAGTTTTTGGTAAGCTCCAAAAAAAAAGCTAGCGCATATATGGTAAAAGGATAAAACATAATAACAAATTTTTCTGATTTCAAGTTTAGCACAAAGTTTTATCAAAAAGTAAAGCAAGCTAATCTTCGCTGAATTTGAATAACCATTTCAGCGAGCCAGTTGTTGTTACAGCAAAATGACTCCATATGTTACAGGAACACAACCCTGAAGGTAACACTTGTAGGACTTGCCTCGAGCATATTATGGCCAATCTAGTCCGCACAAGACAGAGCATAAGGGATTTGTAAAAACATCCAAGAAGTAATGTCGTAATAATTTATTGCTTTCAGTCTCCAATGGACAGTTTTGTTAACAAAGGATGGCGGATCCCCATACCCTAATTAACCATCTATTCATAAGTCCTCATTCGCAACTTTAAATTAAGCAAAGCAGGCTATTGTTTTTTTTTTTTACGTTCAGTAATAGAATCAGCAAGAAGATAGCGAATGAAAGGCTTT